ATTTACTTATTAACTAACCTAAAAAGGTAAGAATAGCATATTTGTTTTTATTTTCATATGGTTACAGACTTTTAATGAATTTCATTTTTGAAGAGAGTGCAAGAATTTTTTTATTGTACCTAACATTTTACACATTTATAACTTAACAATTACAATATCTAAGAAAATTAGAAACACAAGTAATTTTCTTACCTTAAAAATAAATTATGGGTAAATTTTCACTTCACTCCAATATTAAAACTTCTTCTTTTTCGATAATTTCGTAAAACTGAACACAAAATTGGTACAGCTGAATAAAAACTTACTATATACGTGTCATTATTGTTTATGACATCCTCTTAGTTAATATAAAACTTTAAAAACTGCATGTACATATTTTACTATGTATAATGTATATATAAATCATGATTGTAATTATAATTGATAGGTATAATACTTACAATTCACTACAATAATGTATATCCATCAATCTATTATAACTTTAAAATAGCATAAGAATTTTTAATTAGAATATAATATATATTATGTAGATTGTAGGTGATTTGAATAATTGAATAAAGAATAGCAATTAGTCAACTAACATACGAATAAGGAAATAGCTGTCCAGATCCTCATCAGAATTGAAAATTTTTTTTTAGATTATTCAAGGCCTTAAACCTTTAAACTAAAACAAATTATTTATTTGGTAAATAAATAAAAAAACTTAACTTTTGGTAGAAATTTTATAACAATATAAAAGTTTATTACATTATATTATTATATATATATATGATTTCACAGAAATCTTTAAAAATGTATGTACTATATACATAAGGTTATCAGAATACGATTAAAAATATTATAATTGTCATGAGTTTTAGCTCAATAAGAAAACAGAGAAAGCTTAGTAGTCATAGCTGAAAATCGTTTTTACAATATTTTTGTTCAGTGAAAAATGTATACACTAAAAGTATAAAAAATTATAAATATAAAATAGTTGTTAAACTTATAAGTAGATAACATGATGATTTAATWAATTAAAATTTAATATTAACGAACAAATAAAATAAAATAACTTAGAGTTTTAAAGATTTGCATAATTTGTTATATAGTATATAGGTATGTTTATACATTTTACAGTAAATTAACCATGCCAAAACTAATTAATGAACCTGTAGAAATGCCAATACCAAGGAATGTAATCATCAATGAACTTGCCACTTCCTGTTCATGCTTGTCAACAAAGCTATGAGCAAAACAAAATTATTTAAAACTGATACTAAATGTACATAAATTGATAATTTATAGCCTAAAACAGTAGTACTTACTAGGGAATAGAAGCCATTGTGATGTTAGAAACTATACCATTAGTAAAACCAAAGATAGACATAATAACAGCATATAACTGATCATTGTTTATTAAGACAGGTAAATAATACCGAGGCTTAGCATTACAGACCATCATCAAGGGAATAAAAATAGTTCTCAAAGCAGATAATACTGTAGCTGGCCAAATACTATTTACTGGCTGTAATATTACAATAATTAAAATCATTAGTTTCTTCTTCACAAGTTAAACATCAGTATCTATAATTTACTCCAAACATAAACATATTTGGTTAAAATAGATAAATTATTACCAGTTGTATAAGGTTTGACATTACTCTCCCTAAGAAATCACATGTACTGAAAAGTAAATAAACTATCACTGGCAAAAAATATGTATCTAAATATATAAACATCAATATTAATATAGTTACCTACATTCATAAAATACAAATTAAAGTTTTAGAGTGTTTACCTGTCCAGGCACTGTGTTCTTTGTTTACTGAAGTTATCAATACAGTAACTGCTGGGTAAACGGACATAGTGACTAAAAAATTGTAGCAAATGCTCAAACCCAATTTCCATATCTATTAAAATGAAAAATAAATATCAAACATTTTGAATTATTATAATCCTAGTAAAAATTAGAAAATGTAATACATATTTATCTTAATAATATATTATAATACTAAGATACTTAAAATTAATAAGATATACATATATCCCATACTTTAGAATTTTAAAAACAATTATATACCTTTTTTAAAACCACATACGTATCAACAATAGGGGTATGCTCATTGCTGAGTAAAGCATATTGTGTAGAAGATGAACGTCTTATCCAGGTGCTTGCTGGTACGTCTTGAACATAATACTTATAAATAGTCTAAAAGAATAAATGTTTTTTG